TCAGTATAAAAAACAGGGGCCTAAAAAAATCAATTATAGTATCAAGGGGCATTCTTAACTTTGTAAAACTTCTAATCATAATAATGGATATAATTACTAAATCAGAAAATTGAGAAGTATAGGTATTATCAAATCTGATCTCTTAACTATTTAACAATTTCATACTGAGAAGTACTAGTTGGGATGCAGGTCACACTTGAACAAAATCAAGCTAAGATTATAGTGTGCTCAGCCTATGTCCAACACTTCTGGGGCTGCTGTGTTGCCCAGGACTGGCGCTGTTATCCATTGTTACATTATTATTAAGGGTGACCCAGCTTTGGGGAGAGGGAGGGCATGGCTCAGAAATAAGTCCATCACCCCCTGGGTAACTTGACAATGCCCTCATTTCTTAGTGGAGTACAGCTGCCATTGGGCACCCCCTGTTTTGGCCGGAATTCTTTATGTTAATAACACAAACAGCCCATGCAAACCCTCACTGTGCCTGCCACTAAGTAAGGCCCATTCTAAGAGAAACCAGATGTCCAAACTTAATCTGCCTGTGGACCCATCATAATTAGCACTTCATGGGAGAGCAGATTCCCTGGTGCTGGATCTGAGGTTGTGTTAAATAAAGTGTGATATATTTTTGTGGAGTAAAATAAGGCTTTAAGGGAAAAGTGTTGATCAAACTCAAATATCGTAGATACATTTATACTATAAGTAGAAGTATCTTGGAAATCTAATTTATCTTCTCTCCTTTCCCTTTGTTACGTAATATGCTATCTTATCGTGGAATGGATCTTATATTTCTTATCTTAAGGTGGAATTGAACTTGCTGGGTAGCGGGGTACTATAAACCTGAAATACTGTTCAGAGCACATAATCCCTTAACATTTCAGTTGGAGCCAGATTTTCCTTGTTTTGATGAAAGTCCTGAAGTGGATTTACTTTGTCATTAGGAATGACTTCCACTCTATTTGAATAATTAAAGTATTGCTTTTCATTTCATTCTTTGATGAGAAAAAATTGCACACCATAAGCAAAAGCCGTTTCTCCTTAGTGTTGAGGTACTATGTGCTCTGAAATAAAATGGAAAGTTCCTGGAAATCTTAATGCCTTTCTGCTTTGCTGGTGTCTTTGCTTACAGAATACAGTCAGTCCTTCCCCAGATGATGTTTTGATATCTTTCTTACCTCTGGCCCATATGTTTGAAAGAGTTGTAGAGGTAGGCATTTAGTTTTGTTTTCCTTGCTTGCTTGCTTGTTTGTATTCTGCTATGTTGTTGTGTTTTACAGAAAGCACTTGTCTTGAATGCCAGTGACACACACATTTCGTTTTTACCACTTGCACACATGTATGAGCAGCTCATGCTGGTAAGTTTGATGTGCACACTGTCATACTCATAGGTAAAATGTTTGCTCAGCCCTGTTTTAGAAATGGTACAAATTATTTGAAAGAGTATACATTCTTTTCCTGGGTCTGAACTGGATACTTGAACTTTAATCATCTGGTTTAAAATTAGAATCTCAAACCTTTGAAGGATACTAATTATGGGCATGATTCCAGTAAGATTAACTATAAAAGTAAAATTTTTATTAATTCAATCCTATAAAACCTAGTGAGGCTTCTATTCTATAAGAAGTCTCTATTTTTAAAAAATAAAAAGGAAAACAAACTTTTTTTTTAAAGTCTCCATTTTTGATTGTGCTTATTCATAGTGCACAAATTGGCATAAGACTAATTTCTTCACCAATATGCTAAGTGACCTTGGAAAAGGAGAATAATCTTTTAGTTGACCTTTGCCTGGGCTCCCTGTATACAACTGTGCGGCTAATTTAAAAACTGACCAAGAACCACCTTTTTTCCTTCTTGGACAATTTTGGATTTTATACTGCAGGAAAAACAATGGACATCATTCATTGAGTTAGCAAATATTTATTGAGCGCCAGCTGTGTGCCAGGTGCTGTGCTGGGTGTTGGAGACAGAGGTGACTGATAGCAAGCTGACACTGGGTGGCCACTGCCCTGTAGGGTTTACTTATCCCTAAAGGATCAAGGGTGGTTAGATCCCATCTTCCATTTGTTGCTTCTGCTTGTGGCATAGCACGGGATCTTCTGAGTGTATAAAGCAATGTCACATGAGTTGCTCATGGACCGTGTGGTACCTGACTTGTTTTAGAGGTATGCCTAGGAGGCAGGCCGCACCAAACAAAAGCCTCCTGAGTTTAATTTTTAAACAGTGATCCATGGTGTACCTTTCTTGTGGTTTATGCTTTCAAGCCAGAGAACATTTGTACTTCCATCACATTATCTTTTGAATCTTCTTTTCTTTTTTAAATCGAAAATAGGCAAATTGGCTGGGTGTGGTGGCTCACACCTGTAATCCTAGCACTTTAGGAGGCTGAGGCAGGAGGATCACTTGGGCGCAGGAGTTTGAGGTTGTGGTGAGCTACGATGATGCCACTGCACTCTATCCAGGGTGACAGAGCGAGACTCCGTCTCAAAAAACAAAAAAAAGGCAAACTGTCAAGTCCATATGGCTAACAGTGTGGTTCATGCTCTACAGGAGAAAACCACACAGTATATTACAGCTGAATGACCAGCCATTGTGGCATTAGACACTCTGGGGTCTCAACTTCATTATGTTCAGTGGCTTTTCAGAAATTTTTAGTTTGAGTCACATAAAAGAAAATGAGACTTTAATGAGCTGGGATGGTAGCAAGCAGTTAAGTTTTTATTTTGAAAATAAATTAGATCTAAAGTCTCTGGGAGGCTGAAAATATTTGCAGTATATAATACCATGTCATTCATTCAACAATTTTTATCACGGATCTGAACTAGTAGAGCTCTGTGATCATCACTAAAAGCAACACAGCCTAGTTTCATACTGACTCCTGTATCCTCAGGATGATTGGGAGAAATGCCACATCTCCATGTGGTGCAATGACTGGTAAATGCACATGCATTTTTTAAAAAGCTACATACATTTAGGAACTTTTAAGATTTCTGGAAACTGGCCTGAAATGCTAAAACCAAAGTCTTGTGTGTTGCCTGCCTGTCTGCCGTGTGCCCCGAGCTGCAGTGATAAACTGTTGTTTCTCTTTACCTCTGTAGGCTGTAATGCTGTGTCACGGAGCTAAAATAGGGTTTTTCCAAGGAGATATCAGGCTCCTCATGGATGACCTCAAGGTGCTTCAACCCACTGTCTTTCCTGTGGTTCCGAGGCTGCTGAACCGCATGTTTGACCGAGTAAGTTCCCAGCGGCGAAGTGTGGGGACAGACTGCCGACTCTGAGGCAGGGGCCTGGGTTTGAGTTGGGCTTAGCCGTGGACCATCCGTGTGACCCTGCACAGGCCTCTTACTCCTGTGGAATTTCAGTTTACGCATCCGCACAGTGAGGATACCTTTACCTCACAGGGGCGTCGGTAAGGATCGTAAGCGGAAACGCACGAACACACTTCGTACACTGAAAGCTTGGTGCAGGTGTGAGCTGGTAGGGCATTTTTTTTTTTTTTTTTTTTTGAGACAGAGTCTCACTCTGTTGCCCTGGCTAGAGTGGGTGCCGTGGCGTCAGCCTAGCTCACAGCAACCTCAAACTCCTGGACTCAAGCGATCCTCCTGCCTCAGCCTCCCGAGTAGCTGGGACTACAGGCATGTGCCACCATGCCTGGCTAATTTTTTCTATATATTTTTAGTCGTCCAATTAATTTCTTTCTAATTTCAGTAGAGACGGGGTCTCGCTCTTGCTCAGGCTGGTTTCAGACTCCTGAGCTCAAACAATCCGCCCACCTCGGCCTCCCAGAGAGCTAGGATTACAGGCGTGAGCCACCGCGCCCGGCCTGGTAGGGCATTTTATTTTTACAAGAAACCCTTTGAGCCTCTGCTTCTCATCGACAAAATGGGCTATCCCCTCTTGTCCCTGCTGCCTGTCTCAAGAAGTCGCTAATTGGATCGTGTAAGAATAACGACTGTGCAATGGCTTTCTTAACCGTAAATCTCCATGCACATGTGAAACATAGTAAGTAATACTTAGCCGTGTTGACAGAAGCGGCTCAGCCACAGCGGGGCCTGAGAGAACACCAGCGCCTCTGCAGTGGCGCATCGTAGTGTGGACCACACGGCTGAGCCACGCCTGCGTGTGGCCTGGGCAGTCTCCACGTGAACTTCCATGGGGCAGTATTAATACTCTTTATTTCTAGTCAGTGCTTCTGTTATCTCTGAGAACCTTGTTACTTTTTTTAATGGTTTTTTTTTAAAAAGTTTTAAACAGCCTTATTGAGATGTAATTCGCACTGTACAATTCACCCACTTAAAGCGTACAACTCAAAGATTTCTAGTACTTTCGCAGTTCTGCAGCCACCACCACAGGCCATTTTTAGAACATCTTCGCCACCTCAAAAAGAAACCCTTTACCTGCCCTTTAGTTATCATCCCATCCCCAAGCCCCTCCAGCCCCAAGCAACCACTGATCTACATCCGGAATCTATAGGTTTCCCCATTCTGGGCTTCCACGCAAATGGAATCATGCCACGTGTGTTCTTTGGTGACTGGCTGCTTTCATGAACATATTTTCAAGGTTCATCCATGTACACGTATCAGTACTTCACTCCTTTTAATAGCCAAGTAATGTTCCACTGTGTGTATATAACACGTTTATCCATTCCTTCATCGATGGCCATTTGGGTGGTTTCTAGCTTTTGGCTATTATTAATAACGCTTCAAGTTTCCATGTGGATGTATGTTGTCCTTTCTCCGGGGTGAGTACCCAGGAGTGGAGTCGCTGGTCCTGTGATACCTGTGTGAACTGTTAGAGGAACAGCCCGGCCACACCGTTTAACGTTCCCGCCAACAGCAGACGAGGGCTCCCGCGTCTCCACATCCTCACCAGCACTGACGACTGTCTGACTTTTCCATTCTAGCCATCCTAGTAGGGGCAGAAACATTCTTACTTCTTGCCTTGCTAGATTTTTGGACAAGCCAACACCACACTGAAGCGATGGCTCTTGGACTTTGCCTCCAAGAGGAAAGAGGCAGAGCTTCGCAGCGGCATCATCAGAAACAACAGCCTGTGGGACAAACTGATCTTCCACAAAATACAGGTGACAAATAGGCTCACAGCTGCTATTTCTCCCGTAGACTAATTTAGCTTTCAGGGTTTCTACGAGGCTTTTTTTTTTTTTTCTGAAGAGAGATTTGAAGGTAAGGGAGAGAATGGCATGTTTGATTAATTCTGGCCCATGTGTAAAGATAAAGGACACAGCCATTAAGCAAACTTCAGTCTCCAAGATAAATCTGAACAATATTGTAGCCATAGCTAAAGAATTCAGGGTATTATAGCCTTTCTAATTCTCCATTTTGTTTAGCTTTTCTGGAACAAGTATGTCACTCTCGAGGTAATTTTTTGAAGCATGAATGATAAAGGATGTATAATAATATGTCCCCCTAAAATGCCTGTCGGTAGAGGTGCTGGATTATGTCCATACCCACTGAGAGGGAATGAGGTAGCTGCAGGTAGAAACAAGCTCCAGCTCCGTGTCGCTGTTACAAACACTGTATGTTCTCTGTGCGCCATCCCGAGCGTGCGTTCGGTGTGGCCTGCAGAGGAGCTGGTGGATTAGGGCACGGGGTCCCAAGCAGGTATCTTTGCCTAAAGCGCCCACCAACCTCCAGATGCGTAACCCTCGCTTCCTCTCACTCTCTCTGCTTTGCAAGTCAAGCCTGGGTGGAAAAGTCCGGCTGATGATCACAGGAGCCGCACCCGTGTCTGCCACTGTGCTGACGTTTCTGAGAGCAGCCCTCGGCTGTCAGGTGAGGCAGGCCTCGTGCCCCCTGAGTCCCTAGACTTTAGGGTGCTAAGTCCCCTTAAAAGCCATTTTTGTTCTCTTTGGGTGTCTTCTTTTTAATTGACAAAGTTGTATACATTTATGGTATACAACATGATGTTTTGATATAGGTATACATTGTGGAATGGCTAAATTAGGAAATTGACATATGCCTTACCTCACGTGCTTTTCACTTTTTTGTGATGAGAACACTTCAAATCCGCACTCTCAGTAACTTTCAAGAATACAATACATTGCTCTCAACTATAGTCACCATCTTGTACAATAGATCACTCGACCTCATTCCTCCTAACGGAAATCTTGTGTCCTCTGACCAACATCACCCCCATGCTTCCCACCCCCCGTTTTGCGTGTGTGTGTCTTATTTTCGTTTGGAAGATATGTTATCACTAGGTTGCTTGGAGAAGGAAGCACATGTATGTTTGCACCTTAGGCAGGAGAATGTGAGTTTGTGTCACCATTTCTGTAGTTTTCTCTAGGGTAAGACACACGATGCATTTCTAGAGTCAGGCATGCAGGCGAATGGACCACAGGTGATACACCTACCTGCAGACCACACTGAGAACCTATTGTAAACTGGGCAGAGGAGACTTGGTGGCAGACAGGACATGTGTGGGGTTCACCCCTGGACGGCCAAAGCAAGTACACTCTGGGTGGGCGGTGACCTGTTATGTAGGGGTTCTCCCTTGCTTGTCCGCGGGAGTTATGTAGAAAGTGAACGTGGGCGTTTGGCCTGGGAGCGCAGATGTGGGGGTGCCGTCATAACGCACGTCAGACCGTTGGATGAAATTACTAAACAGACCATTTGAAACGAGATTGCACCAGAGTCAGCCATGAGTCAGGAGTTAGCGGGACTTGAGTAGTTGTGCACTTCCAGCAAAGGTGTGACTGTGCCCTCCTTGATAACGTCCATCTCTTGGTGCCCCAGTTCTATGAAGGCTACGGACAGACTGAGAGCACTGCCGGGTGTTGCCTGACTCTCCCTGGAGACTGTACGGCAGGTATGAGTGGCACATGGGTTCTTTTCGGAGTCTTATTAATTGAATTGGGTTATTGGAGTTACTGGAATTGAGTTAATCATTGATCGGTTCATTAATCAACTGAAATAACTTAATAACATTAATAACTTAAATAACTGCTATGTCTCAGATAATTAGGCCTTAAGACAAACGATCTTATAAATCAGGGCGCTGTAGGGAAAATGCCCCCTGTGGCTGAGGGTGGTGGAATTGGGGGTCTGACTGTCAAGCGTCGTGGCCGTAGAGATTTGCTAGACCCTGATGGCGACATCTGGGAGAGGGTGCCCTTTGTGCCAGACTGAGAATGTCTGGCCCAACAGAGCTTCCCGGTGATTGATTAAGGTCTCATTATTTGCTGGTAATCTTAAACCACAAATAGTTATTAAATTTATACTGTGTGCTGTGCTAGGTGTTGGGGCTATAGACAGGAATAGATACAAGACAAAGGGGGAGGACAAACAGAAATAACTGATTGTGCACCTGTCCTGTCTCTGAGAGGTGCTTACAATGTAATCCCAACAACATCCCTGCAAGACAAGTCCTGGTACCTCTGAGAGGAAATTATAGATCGTTGTTTAAATAGCATGTAAATAACGTATAAGAATTTACACAGCATTATGCTTCAGAGCCAGGCTGTCAACCCGGTCCGACTGCAAAACTTCTGTGCTTCTCTGCGTTAGCAGTACATTCTGTGCTGTCATAGATGACTTCCCTGACCACCTTGGTGTATTATAAATGTTAGCACCGTCTAGTAACTTAGATTCTAGTATATAGCGCTATCTAGTAACATAATTCTGGTGGGATTGACACAGACAGTCTATGAATCTTCTTCATTGTGTTCAGTTTTTAACTCCAGCTTCCTTAACAGCCACAGAATTTGGGATAGGGATCGCTATAAGCTCAAATTATTAAAACATAGGAAGGATTACTTGCGACACTTAAAACATATCTAATAAGTTATTTGTGTTTTTGGAAAGGACAACCCAATCTTAACACCCAAGAGAGTTCAGTTAGCTGTGGAAATAAGCACTGTCCTGTCTCACTAAGCTGAAATATAAAACATACTCATTCATACTTAGGGAAACAAAGATCATGTTGATCAGAACCAGGTGGAGCGTGAGGTCTGCAGAGCTGCATGTGCTCTCTCTCCTTACAGAGGATAGGGACGTTAAGAAGTCTGTATCTGGGAGCAGTGGCAAGTAACGGGCACGACTGTCAGATCGCAGAAGCCAGGTAAAAGTTTTAGAAAGCTTGCTTCCAGGTGTTTGTAGTGACCCTTAAAATCAGAGACCAGATTATTTACAAATAATTCAGAGCATCAAACTTGGGAGGAGTCCTGAAGAGACTGATATTTTTGTCTCTATTCTAGGAATGAACTCTCTTAAATTACTTTATCAGGGAGAGAATGGCTGTGATTGCAGAAACGAGAAGTTTATACCAGACGTTCTTAGCATGAGGAGACGTGTTTGTTATAAAAATAGTTTGACCTGAGGTTATTAGTAGCCCCCTTGGGGATGATCATTTGCTCATTTGATACGCAGGCCACGTTGGCTCCCCGATGCCTTGCAACTTTATAAAACTCGTCGATGTGGAAGAAATGAATTACATGGCTGCCAAGGGCGAGGGTGAGGTGAGTGAAACTCCATTAGTAACTTACCCCACTGCCATTCCCTGCCATAGCTGGCCCTTGCGAGCACTGTGCCACATTCTGGCACAGCTCACTAAAGCCATCCAGGAGACCCTGGAGTCGGACAGGCTTCTTTCTCAAGGTCCATTCATGTTCAGCTCTTGAGGTGTGGGGTGGAGGGACACTGAAGCCTGCCTCCCTCTGCCTGGCAGGGGAGGGATTCGGGCCCAAGAGTATGTGAAGCTCTGGCAGCCTAAGTCCCCGGGGAGCCCCTTCCGGCTGCTCAGTGCCCTGGATAGCTGTTAGGGACCCCGGCTACTGGACAGAGCCTCATTACTTACAAGTGATTTCGTCCCCTGTGGGGCTCTGTGGCAGCTTTGAGCCGGAGCCCAAGGCAAACATTAGCCCTACAATTTGACTGCAGCCAAGGTAATGAAAGGGCTCTGGTACGTCCCTCTGGATCATGGAATTCAGCTAAACATTCCAGAGCTAGCTAAAGGTTGGGACACACACACGCACACACACGTGCCGGTTTTCTTTGGAGAAACCCCAGTAAATACCATTAACAGATGGTCTTCTCTTCCTTAGATCTGTGTGAAAGGGCCCAACGTATTTCAGGGCTACCTGAAGGAACCAGCAAAAACAGCAGAAGCTCTGGATAAAGACGGCTGGTTACACACAGGGGACATTGGGAAATGGTTGCCAGTAAGTGGTTGCCTTCCTGTTCACCACTGTTTTTGTTCCGCTGCCGTAGGGAAGAAAATATCCCGTCTTCGGTACAGCGGCCACGTGGCGGCAGCACCCCGAGTTTTCTCTTTCCCTTTCTCCTTGTTGAGTGGTGGGACGCAGACTCTCCCATTTCCTGCCGGGGATAGGTTTATGCTCTTTGCATACTTGCTTAGGGTTTTCACTTTCACTTTAGCAAATGTGTTTTGTTTTGATGCTTAACATCAATTCTGGTTGCTGTTTCCCATTTGGAATCCAAAGAGACGAGGGCTCTTTGCAATATCGATGCTGTGCCTTGATGTCGGGGTCTTGTTGACCAAGGTCTGGGGAAAGTTGTGCTAGACTTCCAGGAATGTAGGGTGGGCAAGAATTCAGGAATAAATGTGTTTCTTAGGTTCGTCATCTCATTAAAAATGCAGTGTTTCTTGGATTAGACCAACTCCTTGAATTTAGTCTTGGAATCATTTACTGTAGAGAAATTCCAAAGAGTCTGTCTTGGGAGTGAGAGACTTATACAAGAAGCCTTGTCTGTTACACCCATAGGTTTGATCAATTTTGTTTGCTGTGGTAACAACCATTGCTTTTTCTAAGTTAGTACTCTATTAAATTATAAGCATTAAAAATGGCTAATATAATTTTTATTGTCTGATTCTTATAGATTTAATTCCACAAGAATGCTTAATTCTCAGAAATGTTTATTGATTAGAATAATGCCTCTCAAAATTAATTCAGATTTCATAATACCCAAGCTATTTAGAAATAAAAGCCAGACACAGTGAGTGGCTCATGCCTATAATCCCAGCACTTTGGAGGCTGAGGCAGGAGGATTGCTTGAGGCCAGGAGTTAAAGACCAGCCTAGGCAATACAGCCTTTTTGTCTCTACAAAGAAAAAAAAGGAAGAATGAATGAAAGAAATTAAATCCCTCCCTTCAAGTTCAAAAGGGTTGAAATATCAGTTCTAACTCTAGCTCTGGCTCTCATGAACACATCTCATAATCTCTCTAGGCCTCAGTCTGCTCCTTTTGAAAAATGGAGATCTGGTGTGGAATGAGAAAACCCTAGAAACTTTCCGACAGATGACTTCTGGAGGCATGAGAATGGCCCTGGGGTGGGGATGGGGTTTTGCTCACCGAGGCAAGCACGACTGGCACTTGGATGCTATTGAGCACTCCCACGGTTACGGTGTGAGGCAGGTGATGACTCTTCCCAAAGGGCCGGGAGCACCCCCTCCAAACTAAATGCTAAAGGAAACTGAAATTCTGCCTTTGTGTAGTACACATTTCTTGAACCCTTACTCTGTGCAGAGCACTGTGGGAGGAAAAGTCTGTGTCCCTGCTCCCATGTGGTGAGCCAGATATGGATGTGCCTAGTCCAGATAGACTACATGAAGCACGCTGAGATAAAGGGAGCAAAGCCCTGCTCGCTGGCCCAAGTGGTGCAGCTGAATGAGCATGGGCTCTGGGGCCCTTTCTCTGTCTTTGTACTTGGCTGAATGGCCTTAGACAAGTTACTTAGTCTCCCTAAGCCTTAGTTTCCCTCCCTGTAAAATGGGATAATAACCAGCCTCTGTGAGATGTTATTAAACGATAGTGCACATCAAATATTGTGTACCGTATTATGATTGATCCTGGGTGGAAACCAGCCATAGACCCATTCACAGCCCCCTCCTCTCTGATAAACAGAATGGCACCTTGAAGATTATCGACAGGAAAAAGCACATATTTAAGCTGGCACAAGGAGAATACATAGCGCCTGAAAAGATTGAAAATATCTACGTGCGAAGTGAGCCTGTTGCTCAGGTGTTTGTCCACGGAGAAAGCTTACAGGTATGTGCTTTCTGGGCTGTGAGAATCAGTTCCTAGGCATTGCTAGTGCCTTGTACTCCCGTGGCTTTAAACGCAATTGAAAGTTTGAGACGAGTATAAACTAGCTTTCATGACTGACGTGCTGGAATGTCATTGACCCACTGTTGGTTTTCGCTGCTTGGCATTTCCTACGCGGAAAAGTTCGTTCTCTTTAATTTCCCTGTTTTTATTCTACCTGCAGTGGTCTGGTGTACCAAGGAAAGTTGAATAAAGATACTTGGGGGTGGGTGCTATATATTTCTAATTTAATCATGAAGGAAAATATTGGCATATGGGTTATAAGAATGTTGCAAATTCTAAACATGTTAAACCCAGCTTATTTATGAGGTGCCTCCTAATCATTTTTGAGCAAATTGTGGTTGTAAGCCAAGAATACTCAAAGTTGAAAATCAAAATCAGTATTGCAGTGAAACATGTACAGTGTTTGCCAAAATGTTGGACAGATGGTGGCAAGGAAGAGAAGGGGTCTGGTTTCCTAAAAGTTAATCTTTTGACGAATCTTAAGATTTTAAAATTATTTTAGAAGGCTGTTATCTTATAGAGGAAGTGTACTTATTTTTCTTTGAGATTGTACCTATCTTTCTCTGATCTAGAATCTTACCACACTTTTGATTTTTATTTAATTTTATTGTTACTAGATTATAAAGAGTGAGGTATTAGAGATTTAAAAGAATGAATCTGTAAATTATCTTTCATTTTTTAAAGCAGTTATCTGATATCTGTCACCTTGTTTATTTATTTGACCCTGTTTTATAAAAATAAATAGACATAAAAGTAAATAAAAATTGGGGTTTTGTTAGATTTTGATTTCTAGTGGCTCTTTAAAAACATTGATTGTGAAATTCCCGATGCCATCTATATTTCAGAGCCAGGAGTTCTTAACCTGGGTTCTATGAACTCCTGGGCAAGGGGAGTAGTATATTCTGAAGAAAGGGGCCGTAACTTTCATCAGATTCTCCCAGAAGTCCATAGAAAAAAAATACAGAACCACTATTTTAGAGCATTTGGATCAAGCACGTAATAACTCACTTGTCCGTGTTCAAGGCATTTCTCATAGCAGTTGTGGTACCAGATGTTGAGACATTATGTTCCTGGGCCCGAAAGAAAGGATTTGATGGGACTTTTGAGGAATTGTGCAGAAATAAGGTAAGGTTCTGAAGGGTCCAGTCTGTCTTCTGCATCTCAACTTTGCATTAAATGTACCTAAGATTATGCAGGTACCCCCAACAGAAGAAGTATCTTCTTTTTTTTATTTTATTAGGATGTCAAAAAAGCTATCCTAGATGACATGGTGAGAATTGGAAAGGATTCTGGTCTAAAATCATTTGAACAGGTATGATTTTCATCTATGTGCATGAATTCCTGGAAAGCAAATTTTTGATTTGAAGATTTTTTACAAGTAGGTTCTATAAACAGATGAGATGACCTAAAGAAATATGTGAATAATAAGCCAGGCGTGGTGGCTCACTCCTGTAATCCTTGTACTCTGGGAGGCTGAAGCAGAAGGGTCGCTTGAGGTCAGGAGTTCAAGACTGGCCTGAGTAAGAGTGGGACCCTATCTCTCCTAAACATAGAAAAATTAGCTGGGCACGGTGGCACGCACCTGTAGTTCTAGCTACTCGGGAGGCTGAGGCAGGAGGATCCTTTGAGCCTAGGAGTTTGAGGCCACGGTGAGCTATAATGACCACTGCACTCTACCTGGGACAACAGAGCAAGACTCTGTCTAAAAAAAAAAAAAAAGAAAGAAAGTAAAAAGAAATACATGAGAAATGGAATGTTTTGATAAAGGAAAGGTTTTTTAACCAAGGGTATGAATTCTGTTTTCCTGTGGAGGTCAGGATACAGTCCTGAATTCTGTCCTAAGAGTAGGATGCTTGTTCTTTGTGGAGAAAGTGCAGCTTGGCTGAAGTAGGGGGATAGGTTAGATGGCCCGAACGGTCTTGATCTTCCTCTCCGGCTTACATGCTTTTTAGACTGGGTCGCCTGTGTCCTCTTCCCTCTGCTAACAGCCTTGTTTATTCGCAGGTCAAAGGCATTGCAATACATCCTGAATTATTTTCTATTGACAATGGCCTCCTGACACCAACGATGAAGGCGAAAAGGCCAGAGCTACGGAACTATTTCAGGTCACAGATAGACGAACTTTATTCCACCATCAAGGTTTAACGTGAGGAAGAACGGTCGGAAGAAACGGCACACCCCACAGTCTCCTGTTCTACTGATGGCCTTCACGTTGGTAATTTTGACGACAGCAAGCATAGGGAAGGAAACGTGCGCATTTACCTTGTCTACTCGGGGTTCTTGTCATAGGAATATTAGAGGACATGGAACACTGCCTTATAGTCACCTCGTGTTGTAGACCATGTTTATGGTGATATACGATTCCCAAAATGAGCCTTAAAAATTGTAAAGGAAAAACTATAAATGTGTTAAGTTATTTGAGACTCCCTCAGTTAAGAAGGCGGGTTTTAAAACTTCTGTCTCCCTGTTTTTCTAACCAAGGGGTTAGGACTTTGCTATCTCTGAGCTGTCTGCTACTTGCTGCAAATGCTGCAGTCCTCTGCTGCTCTAAAGAGTACAGTGCACTGGAGGGAAGCTGTCCTTTTAAAAACAAGAGCAACTGTCCCGGCTGGAGAATGTCACAAGCGGACCAGAGATTTTTTTTTAATCCCTGCCACCGACCCTTCCCCATCTCACAGGCACTCACGCTGCCCTTCCGACTGACTCGTAAGGGTTAGGAAACTCATGCTCTTCTCCACAGTCCCCTCTTGTTCCTGTTGGAGCATAGGTTTCCAGTAAACCTAAGGACAGATCCAACTCGGAACAGTGCAGGTACGGAGTCTCGACAGATTCTCACTTGGCAGAATGCTCTCGGGCTCTGTTCTCCAGACCTGAATCCCTCCCTCCCTTCCCAGGGATTATTTAAAAATCTGCCTTAGATTCAACAGTGAAGACAAGCATTTCAAGAAAGAAAGAATTACCTGGATCAACCATGCTCAACTGTGATGCCTGAATAACTGTCTACTTTATCTTCACTGAACCACTCACTCTGTGTGTGTAACGGCCAATGGATTTTTAATATGGTTTTCATATCAAAAAATCGTGTTGTGAATAACTTGATTTTCTCCCCTCCAAAATAAACTCTCAGGCAAAGCATGTCTTTAAAAATATTAAGGGAGTAGATATACTCGGGTACTTATTGGAATGGACAGAAATAAACAAATGTTCTCATAGCATAATGCTACCTGATTTCTATGAAATGTATTTGACAAGCCAAAATTCTAGGATGTAGAAATATGGAACGATCATTTCCTGGGATTAACTTCTCAAGGGATTTTTTTTTTTTTTACATTAATTTGGGAAAATAACAGCGTTTCACTTTATTTCGAGTCTTGGCCACATTTGACTGAATTGAGCTGTCATTTATACATTTAAAGCAACTGTTTTTGGATATGTGAGAGTACATGTATTATACAAGCACAACAGGGTTTGCACTAAAGAATTGTCATTGTAATAACAGTATTTGGTAGCCTAACTTCATATGTATTCTTAATTGCACAAAAGTCAATAATTTGTCACATTGGGGTTTTGAGTGTTTGCTTTAAGTGTTGGCTATTTCTATGTTTTATAAACCAAAACAATTTCCAAAAACAATGAAGGAAACCAAAATAAATATTTCTGCATTTCGAGTGAGTGAAGCATCTCTTTAATGTCAGGTTTAATATTCCAGACAGCCTGTGATTCGCGCAAAGAGGCAGAATGGCCCTCAGCCTCCAAGCCTTCCCAACTGTGTCCTCCCCTTACTCAGGTCACCCTCTTCTAACTCGGTCATCTCTGACACCAACAGACACTGACCCGAGCCTCTCACCGGTTGTCTCTGGCAACAGTCCGAATGTTTTGTAGAGAAGAAAATCATGATGTGAATAATAGGGATAGTCCTAAAAATGCATCTTCTTTGCTGGAAAGCTACATTTCAGGAGACACTGGCTATAATTGGTGGTTCTGTGGTAGATTGAATTCTACTATATGCTAGTCATTCTCTTCCCATAGAACAATTCTTCCCATAGAACTGTTTTTAGTGTCTCATTTATAGTAGCCAACTTTTTCTTTTCCTCTATCCCTACGCTACTCCTCATGTTATCATTTTAAAGATTTTCTTTTCCATAAGTATTAATCAATTCCCTAATTTCTTCTAAGCCTGTCATAGTTAGATCTGTTGTCTTCTCTTAAATTTATGTTTGATGTGGTGATGTTTGTTTTCTTCCTCCAAAGCCCAAGCCCTGTGTATATACAGTATCTCAAGTGAAGCTTCCAGTGCATTCTGCCTTTTTTATTTATTAAGATCCTTATCTTAGCTGGGTAGGGATCCTGTTTGACTCCCGGGGAGTCAGGAAGAAGGGTGGGCAGCTCTTGTTGACTGTGAAGGAAGCCGGGTGAAGGGGTGGTAACTGGTGGGAGGGGTGAGGCTGAGAGGTGAGTTTTTGCTGGCAGGTGGTGGTGGTTTCTAGGATGGGAGGTACTACAGCATAATGACACACTGATGGGAATGATCCAGGGAGAGAGAAAGTGATAATCTGGGAAAGAAGGGAAAGACAGCTGTCCGGAGAGGGTGGGAGGGTTAGAACCGAAGTTAAGTGGGGAGATTGGCCATTGATTGATAAGACGCTTGAGTTGCAACAGGAGAGGGAATGGAAAATGTGGGTTAGATGCAGGCAGACCCGTGGTGATTGCAGTGGGAAGATTAGGGAGCTCCTATATGAACACTTCTATTTCTTCAGCTAAGTATTATCTCCTTGTTATGGATGAGGAAATGACAACTTGGAGAATCAGCTCGCTTACCCAAGTTCAGACGCCTAGCAAGTGGCTGAGCTGGATTTTGCTGGACTCCAGGGCCTCTCCGTGCCTAGGTCACCTTTTTCGCTGTTCCTTCCCCTCTGTGGCGTGATGCCCAGTTCCCTGAGCTTCCAGTCTCTGTTGAGTAAGTGTTCTTACTTAGCCAGTCCTCAGGTGCAGTTCGACTTTCCCTTGCAGATACACCTGTTCGCAGTTTTAAGTGAGTCATGCCACAATGGGAAGGAAGATAAATGCCAGGGACTCTGGAATTTCCTTTTTATGTTTTAATCCACATCACCAGCTGCTGTTTCGTTTCGTGGCAGCATAAGCGGAGGAGAAGTCTGCCAGTCTGTCCCAGTCACGGTGCAGAGCAGGTGGGTAGAGGGAAGGTCTTGGCAGCACGTTGGCAGGCGAGGGCCGTGGGTCAGCTAGACTGGCCAGGGTGCCTCCCGACCCTCAGCCTCAGCCTCCGCTGTTACTATGGAGAGTGGCTGCAGCCCTGAGTCTGAGTGGAGGGGCCTCTCCCGAGGGTCCCAGCACCGAGACAGTCTGTGCCTGCACCCAGTGCTGAGAAGCCTCAGCTCCAGGTTATCCTGGAGCCTGCAGAGTGGGAGACCCCCACCCCCAACGCTGGCTGAATTTGCCCTCACATTCTGCGTAGGTGGTGCGTGCAGACGCAGAGGGACTCTGGTTTTGGAGGCTCTCGCGTTCCCACACCCACTGATTCCGCCCTCCCCCACCCTGCTGCGCAGCTGCCGGCCCCGTAGCCCCGCCTGGCTCAGCTGTCGTGGGCCGCGCGCTTGGGAGCCGCTCCAGGCCTGCCGCAGGCAGCCGCAGCCACCCGCTCCTGCCCACGCCTGCTCCTGTTGTCCAGCAACTCTCGCTATTCTCTCCGCTCCTCGGGCCCGCTACTCAGGGCAGAGGCCCTCTCTTGCCAGGACAAGCGCACCAGCCTCTTAGCTGGCCTCCTTGTCACCTGTGCTGGTCTCTGCTAATTTACCCCCTTTGCAGCAGGAATGATTTTCCTAAATCACAAGTCTTACCAAGTGACTCTCCTGCTTCCCATGGCTCTAGAGTCTGAACTGTAGTTCGAGGAGGGCTTTTCACACTGTACTGTGCATCAGATCACCTCGGGATTTTAAAATGCAGGTTCTGGTGCAATAAATCTGGAATCAGGCCTGCAACTCTGCATTGCTCACCAGCTCCCGGCAACACCAGTGCCGCCTGCTTGTGTACTGTACTTGAAGGAGCAAGGACTGGGAGGACCCCTGCTTGGGTACCTAGTGTCATCGTTTGCCCCCTCCCAACTCTGTTCCAGCCACACTGAACTTACTGATCCTGCTCTCTGCAAAGCACCCTGGCCTGGCTGCTCCTACTCCTTCAGTAGGACTGTAGGTGACACTTCCTCCAGGAAGCCTTCTCTGATTCTCCAAGCCCCAGAAACAGAGTTGAGCATGACTGTGGCCCAGCAGTGGTGTGAGGTGGGAGTAGGGTGGTGATGATATTTATGCTAAGTGACAAGGTTAACTGGGTGGGAGGAGCTGGCCCATGAGGTACAGGGCAGCAGCCAGAGGCTTTCCTTCTAGAGAGGGGTCTGGGAAGAAGGTTTCTGCATCACCTGGAAGTCCGTCTGACGGACACCATCTGCTGATTGCATTCGTGCCTGAGCAGAGAGGGTTCCTGAGGTAAGGACACTGGTTGCTGGGAACCCTTCAAACAAGGTCAGCCTCACAGCTGTGCGGGTTTTCAGGCCAACCAGAAGTCATGTCAGGCCGAGTGCAGTGGCTCATGCCTGGAATCCCAGCACTTTGGGAGGCTGAGGCAGGAGGATCACTTGAAGCCAGGACTTCAAGACTAGCCTGGGCAGTATTGAGACCCTGTCTCTACAAAATAAATATTAAAAATTCACCGGGTGTGGTGGCGTGCACAAATAGTCCCAACTATTCGGAAGGCTGAGGCAGGAGGATCGCTAAAAAAAAAAGTGATGTCAGAGTGAGCAAGCTCATTCAAAAAATGAAAACTTTTTCTAGAAAGTTCTTTTCTAACCACAGCTTGAGGAAGAGTTATGGAGACAAAGTCTCTACTGTAGAAATTTTATTTCTTTCCTTATTTTTCTCTCCTTAAGAAAATCTTTGGGATGTCCTTTCGTTTTCTCTTTCTCAGCTTATGCACTCACTGGGTTCTTTTACATCAGTCTGAGGTATACAATTATTTCCTGTGCAGGTTGGGAGTCTGCCATTCCTTAGCTAAAGAAATCCTGGATTTTGCTAGAATGCTCCTGCCAGGATTCCAGCACCAGACTCTCTTAGCCCTTCAGGCAGCTGGGAATGGAATCTGAAACATGTGACATTGCTTGGTCATGATGTACTGATCAGACCTAGTTAGCCATGTGAGCTCAGCTTGGGTAGGAGCCGTGCCAGTTAGGTCTGGAAAAAGTATAACAACATTAGTTGCAGAGCAGATAAGTTTAGTAGTCGAGTAACAGTGCCAGGGAAATGTTGAGAAGCAAGTGACATTGGAAAGGATCTAATGTCAATGCAGTTTGCTACGATGGAAAAATCTTTCTGCCCTTTAACTTTAAAAGACACCCAGGCGTACTTCCTTTCTGGATTTTATTTCCTCTTTTTCTTTTCCTTTTTTTTTTTTGCTTTTGAGACGGGGTCTCGCTTTGTCACCTAGGCTAGAGTGCAGTGGCATCATCATAGCTCACTGCAACCTCAAACTGCTGGGCCCAAATGATCCTCCTGCCTCAGCCTCCCAAGTAGCTGGGACTACAGGTGCATACCACCATGCCTGGTTTATTTTTCTGTGTTTTGTAGAGATAGGGTCTTTCTCTTGCTCAGACTTGTCTCCAATTCCTGGCCTCAAGTGATCTTTGATCTTCCAGCCTCCACCTCCCAGAGTGTTAGGATTACAGGCATGAGCCACAGCGCCTGGCCTTTATTTCCTCTTTCTTAAAGGAAACATCCAAGAGAAAGTGTCCTCCTCTGCCCCCACCCTTACCCTCCTGGGACCTTTCAAGTTTGTTTTGCAGTGTCATAGTTACAGATGCTGAGTACTGGCCTGTTTAAAACAGATAATGACTTTAGTTTGTTAAACTGTCAAGTTTAGTGATATATTCCTGCGTACCCAATAATTAGTAGGTGCTGTAGGAAGTTAAATAAGAAAGTAGAAAAATTTGAGAAATAAATTATTTTCCTCTCCACAATAGAAAATCATATTCTTTGCCTTAAGGGAAGTTTACAAGGTTGGATTTGATAAATTATGGAAGAATATCATTTACATGAAGGGAAAACATTTGTTAAGCAAGGGCAGTTAAAATATCTAGTCTTGGGGCCTGGAGGAGCTGAGCCTCTAGAGACGCAGCCAGGACTTAATTAGAAGACAAGAGACTACTATTATGGCGGCGAAGCCCAAGCTGCACTACTATGATGGACGGGGCAGAATGGAGGCCATCCGGTGGCTCTTGGCTGCAGCTGGAGTAGATAGAGTTCGAAGAGATATTTTTAGAATCAGCAGAAGATTTGGATAAGTTAAGAAATGATGGGCGTCTGATGTCCCAGCAAGTACCAATGGTCGAGATTGATGGGATGGAGCTGGTGCAGACAAGAGCCATCCTCAACTACATCGCCAGCAAGTACAACCTCTATGGGAAGGACTTAAAGGAGAGAGCCCTGATAGACATGTATGTGGAAGGCATGGCGGATTTGAACGAAATCATCATTATGCTGTTCACGCATCCACCTGAGGAGCAAGTCGCCCAGCTGGCCTTGCTCAAAGAGAAAACAACCAATTGCTATTTCCCGGCCTTTGAAAAAGTGTTAAAGAGCCACGGACAAGATTACCTTGTTGGCAACAGG